CAGGAATGTGTCCTGTCAGGAAATTTAAAAACTGAAACTGCCTGCACATTAGTTGAACGGCTATGTACAAGAATGCATAAATACCTTGGTAACTGAACTGGGTAGCAACCACTGCTTTGGACTAGGTAAATATTCTTGTGTGGCAGAAAGAAACATAGCACCTTGTTCTGTGCTACAAACAAGAAAAGAGAGAGGTATGTTCTGTATGCCAATATGATAACTATATTCAGATATCCTTTAAACTAAGAACTCTGCCCCAATCCTGAAAATTTATATAAAGCAGGAATAATGGAAAACTTGATTAAGGTGCCAGCATGATTTACTTTAATTTTCTGAGTAAACTTTTGTAAAACTTCCAGTTTTAGCATTTGACAAATGCAGTCTCTTTATCTGGAGAGTTTAGAATGTCACAGAGAAATGATACACTCTGTCCTGCAAAAACACTAAAGGGAAGGTGGGCTATTGAGTAGTTTCTTAAGAAAGAAATACAATCTATAAAGCAGACAGTTAATAGTCATACTCAAAAAGTTTATATATAAAATACCATATTTTTTGCATAAAACATACAACTTTTCCAAGAAACAGCTGCTGGAAATTCAAGCGTGCATTATATGTGAGAAACATGGTAAGCGCAAGTTCTGCCACTTACTGGATGGAACCAAAAGTAAAATCTGTGGCAATCCATAAGAAGCAAAACAATGTGCAAGCTCTCTAGCTGCTGCTATGCAGTTACTTACTACAAGGAAATATCTTTTTATCTTCATTCTGCTTTTCAAGAACAAGATGTGTATTATATTCTGGGCCATGTTATATGCAAGAAAATGTGGTTATACATTTGCAGCAGATCTTACAAAACACTTAAAAGGACAACCCAAATTACTGTCTAGGAAAATAAAATGTATCTTTCTAAAAGTTAATTCCTCTTCCTTTTAAAGTGATGTCTTGCTAATTTCTTTGTTGAACTTCAAACTGCTTAGTAAATGCATGTGTACAGACGTAGATATAGATAACAGCTACTCTGTTAATAATATTTTATTGATTTATTTTGGTCCCAGTTCATTAAAACATGATTTGATATGAGTTGGTAAAAATAAACCCAAACTAGCTTAAAGATGGGTCTAATTATTTAAACAAAAATATGATAGCATTTTTAGCCTACCTTGTACTACTCAGTACTGTAAACAGGATGTAAGTAGTTTTCTTATATGTCTTTCAGAACATATTTATCAATCTTTGTTGAAGAAGCAATGAACAGGAAAAAAAAACTTTCCCAGAAAACATGCACACACTGTTCAGGAAAACTAGTCATTTAACATTCACAACTCAAAATTAAGAAATTGCAGTAAGATAACAGTAACATGCTTTAAAATGGAACTGCCTAAACTCATGTTTATAACTTATACCAAATATTAATTCATTAGTCAAATTTCAATTTGATATCCTTAATCTGCTACAAGACAAGTAAAAAATTCCAAATAATTAACATAATATTAACTTTGGTTTCACACACTATTTACACACTATTTACATCTGGTTTCACACACTATTTGTTATATCAAAATAAATCTTCCAGCATTTATTTGCTATCAGAATAATTTTTCTTTTATCTTTCAAAATGAACAGTGTTAACTGTGTTAGTTTATCTGCTTGCTGTGCAGACCAGCCCCCACTGGTCCTGAGAGCCTGGATGGGCCTGGTTGTCCACTGCTGATTGCCTCTGCCCTCAGCTGGTCCTGATTAGAGTGTTTGGCATGGCTACTGCATATAAGCAGTAGCCCTGCCAGTGCTCTGTGGGCTGGTATAGAGACAGATCACACTCTCTCTAGCCCCAGTACTCATGGTCCCCGGTCTGATCTATGATCTTCAGCTCCCTGTTTTCTCTGCATTATTTTGCCTGAACCTTTTCCCAGCCTCCATCCTGTCTTGCTCCAACCTGCTCCCTTTGCTTCAGTTCTCAGCTTCCGGACTCCTGGTTTGCAACCACTGTAGCACTGTCCCAAACTGCCCTGCCCTCCCCTCCAGGTTTGGGTTGTGCCCATGACAGTAAGTGACTTAACTCTTTTCTCATATAAATGCATTCATGTATATAAAATGTCAGCTTTATGAAGAGTTAACATATTACTGTACCTACCTTAACTGAAGTAGAATAACGACTAATATGTTTCACTGCAACCCAACCTCTGGAATGGGGATCACCAAGGTATTCTACATGATTACTGTCAACATACCCATCCAAATCATGTGTTACATGCTGTCCATTAACAGGATCAGGACAGATTATGCCAGGCCATCTTCAGGAAAAAAAAAATTAAAAACATATATTCAAGCACTCCCCAAACAATACTCCATACCTCTATTACCACCAAATATTTCTTCCTCTGTGCTTAGCATGCTTTAGGGGCTTTCTAAATAAATATAATACTAACAATCAATTCATCACAAAGGTCAGATAAACCTATTCACGTCTCTTGAGCACAACATGAAATGTCACCATTTAATCTATATTCATGAAGTGACAGAATCTTAGTCATTCCAGTTTCCACCATGAGTTTGAAGAAAAAACTACTTTCAGTCCTTGTTTAATTGAAACTTACTTTGCCAACTTGTCTACTACAAAGACATAATACAAGAAGAATGTGAAAGGGAAAGATAAAAAGGAAATAGGAGATTTAGTGTCCTTCCCTAGGCTCAGATTTCCAAGTCTTTTATGGACATTTACACTTCTTCAAGTTTTCTGCCCCATGTCAGAATTTAAAAATCTTCTCATTACTTCTGAAAAATCCATCTGTGTTATGATATGGGATCATTTTATGCATGGAAGCATTGCTTTTTTTTGTTCAGGTAGGGACAACCTAATACAAGTTCAGTCTGACAAAAAACAAAGGGGGAGAGCACAACACATACTAAAGACTCATAAATAGTCACCATAATAAAAACCAAGAGGAGCCTTTGAAAGAAAAGGGGTAAAGAATTATATGCATAAACATATATATACATATACATACATACATGTGTGTGTGTATGTGTGTGTATCACCATCATAATATCGACATGCATATATATTAACAAAAGAAAAATATACAGAGGCAAATAAAACAGTAACATTTGATAGAGAGAGATAAAAATCAAATATAGTCCTTTATTTGTATTATGGCAAACTTCACACACCTGATCCTAAGGTTTCCAGGTAAAAATATAGCCTTCTTCTCTGGGAAGGGTCACAGTTTTTTGTAATCAGTGAAGCAGATTTGGAAGACGGGACAATATAAAGCAGTGCTCTGAACTGAGTTTATTTGGAAGTGGTATGGGGCTCCTCAGAGAGATTGGTTGCTGTTCCAACCAAAGGTCTGGAATCAATCAGTTCAGTAGAAACACTTGTGAACGGAGGCTGGTATGCTCCCTGGACTAGACAAGAGAACTAGGAATTTCTAATACTGGGCCCAGAGCCATTATGAAACCCTGAGAAAGGACCAAATGCGCTTGTGAAGCCCTGACATAAGGGTAAAGAGTTGAATTGAGGAATACAGTATGGTTTGGTTTTTTGCAGCAGGCGTGTTTTCTTTTGTACGTTTCCATTAGGAATCATCATTTTATGACACGCAATTACTCCAGGGCACAGCTTCATGCTGAAGGTGAGATGGCATGTCAATTCTCTTATGACACAAACCACTTAACATACTCAGGTGCTATTCCACAGGCAAAGGCATAATGGCTAGATTCTACCACTTTTGTTCACGTTGAACAACACTCTTCAAGCAGTCCTTCCAACACCATTTGGCCAGTAAGAAACTTTTCCATGTGAATGAAATCAACAGACCTAAGCTTTAAGTGCAGAGATATCTTGTAGACTGTGCAAAGTTAACAAACTTTGTAGCAGTATGTGACAACATCAGGTGGAACTTCCAAAATGAAAAGCTGATCCTATGAAAACAACATATTCAAATCTAGGGTCTGTCAGTTAACATACCTAAATCAATTTGAACTGTTGTGATTATATCAAGAAGCAGACTCTAACGTGTGCAGTATGGGGATTCTATCTTTAACAATGATTTATTTCCAGCATTAGTTAATTAGCTTAACTAGCAGGGTGGATAAAATCTGATTTAAAAAAATTTCAATTGGATTTTTAATTTAAATTGGATTTTTACAATTTAAATTATAATTAAGCTTTACTTTTTAATTTAGCACAATATAGGCTACGGTATACATTTAGTATAATCTATAGAAATAATTTAAATAAAATAACATGTTGAGTCAATGAGCCTGTAATAAAAACTCTGGAGTTAAAGGCTGATTTTCTTCTATATAAGAATGAGGGACGGGGGAGTGTAACTTCTGAGGGCAAGCTTTAAAAATATGGCACAATATTTCATGTATTAAGGTCCTGACCCTGAAAGGGATGCAGGGTCTATAATGCTGAATGCAAAAGATCAGCAAAGTCATCACAGGTGTTGGAACCTGGCCTCTAACTCCAGCAAATGCCATCATGTATACTCCTTGATCAAGATTATCCACTGAACTTATCTAAATCATAGAAACATAGAAAGTTAGGGTTAGAAGGGACCTCAGGAGGTCATCTAGCCCAGTGTTTCTCAACCTTTTAAGTAGCAAGTACCCCCTAACTTCTGAAAACTTTAATAAGTACCCCAACAGTCAATTTTCCAGGGGATTTTACATTTACAGACTAATGTGTGCCATATGTTTGAAGAAGGGCTGTGTATATAAGGTTGTGGTATGACAGATGTCTGATCTGGTGTGGGTAGGGTTGCCACCTTTCACACCAGGGGTTCACAGCTCGAGTATGTACCTGGGCTAGAGGTGATGTTGGCCAAACTACGAGGGCTGAACCCACGCCAAGTTATTACTGAGAAATTTAAAGCACCATGCAGTGCACAGCATACCAAATTTTTTGCCATAGTTTTGACAGGAAGAAGGGGCAAGAGAGAGAGGAAAAGAGGGTGAAAGAGAGAGACAAGGAAATGTACCTGGGCTAGAGGTGATGTTGGCCAAACTACGAGGGCTGAACCCACGCCAAGTTATTACTGAGAAATTTAAAGCACCATGCCTGTGTCTCGTGTACCCCCAGGGGTACACACAGCCAGGTTGAGAAACTATGATCTAGTCCAACCCCCTGCTCAAAGCAGGACCATCCCAGCCAAGGCTTTGTCTAGACCCGTCTTAAAAACCTCCAAGGATGGAGATTCCTCAACCTCTCTTGGTAACCTGTCTCAGTGTTATACTACCCTACTAGTAAGAAAGTTCTTCCTAATATCTTAGCTAAACTTCTCTTGCTGCAACTTAATACCATTGCTCCTTGTTCTGTCATCTGCTACCACTGAGAACAGTCTAGCTCCATCCTCTTTGGAACCACGCCTCAGGTAGTTGAAGGCTGCTTTTAAATCCCTTCTGTCTTCTCTTCTCTAGACTAAATAAGCCCAGGTTCCTCAGCCTGTCCTGAGAAGAGGGGTTGTTCCACCCTAAGTGCAGGACTTTGCACTTCTCCTTATTGAATCTCATGAGATGGTATCAAACTCCTGTTTTATTTTCTCTACCTGAGCTGTCATTAGCTCAGCTCTCAAATTATGACTATTTATGATTCTGTATCCAAAATAGAGGCTTATTCTCCAGGTCATGGAAAAAAAACCATCTGTAACTCCCAACCCCTTGCTTCTGGGTACTTCAGTTAAATGGCTTTCTTGGTCCCTTTGCATATGTACAGAGATGTAAACATTAGTTTCTCAAGTGATCTATCCATGTCTCTAAACTAAAATACTGTAGCACACAAGGCCAGGGGGTTACAATAGCAGAAATCATAGATTGTTAGAGGGGAGGGTATTTTTGCAGGGTGGGGGTGGAAGGGAAGGGTGGGAAGAGTGAAAGGTACAGTGGACTGTCACAGGGAGAGGAAACAGACTACAGAAAAGTGTGCGCAACAGAAAGGACCTTTTTAAATAGAATTAGGCAAGTAGGTACATAAGTTCAAATGACTTTTTACAAAATTTCCTTGAGGATGACTTGAAATAATTGGTTTAATTCACTAATCACAGTTCATACTGCTAATACTAACATTTAATAATTAATTAGTTGTAACTGTGCACCATGTTTTGATTTTAAAAAAGTTTCTGTATCCAAAACATTAAAGTTTAGTTTAATATATTTGAAGCACTGTTTTTGTGTTTAATTAAATACAACTTGTCATCTGAATGCTCCTTGATACAAATATGAACAAAAAATTATTACCAAGCAAATAAGAAATATATATTTCACTATTTTATAGCATACTAAAATGGAGGCTTTCTAACAATGTAATATATTAAGGTGATTAAGCTATATATTTTTATATTTTTTAAAGTGTATGTGTTTCTAGGCAACATATGCCCACACACTGAAGCACCCTAGTGCCCCAGCCAGCCCTGTCAACATCTACATGTGTGTTGTGGCAGAGTAAATAACTGCTGTAGGATAATATTGGTGCCTGGCAGTACTTTCCGATGGCAGAGATAATTAGCTTACTCTGCCCTAATAGCACTGCATGTATAGACACTGACATTTTACTCAGAGCTAATTAGTCAACTCCGCAGTATATGTTTAATGTAGATGTGCCTAGCATGATTATCCAGCAGATGAATCCATGACTAATTTTAAAAAAGTCAGAGAGTTCATATAGACAAAGACGTTTTAGCTCTAACTACAGTTAGCCCTAAAGGAAGAATAACTTCTAGCCAGTAAATATTTTATAAAAATGTCTCTCAAATTTTTTGAGTATAAGCAGGTAGACATTTTACTTTGCTCTATTTTTTGCAGTCAAACACACTAACAGTGTTGTTATATGTTTCAGTACCTGTGTCTTTTACAGAAGTACATTCTACTGTATGTAAGGCACTGGCCCAAACTGGGAAAGCACTTGACCATGGGTTTAACTTTCAGCTCAAGCTTAAGTATTTTACACTTAACTATCTACCAGGGATATATTGTGCTATAGCTGTATATGAGCTATGCAAAGAGATGATGTTGTTGGTTTGTATAACACTGAAAACTGAAGTTATATACCTAAAGGAGGTTACCCTTGATAGATTTTAATTATAGTGTTTATGTTGATGATTACACGTCTACTTTAAACAATTAAAATTTTCCCAGAATATAAATCAACATAAAAAATATACCCATTAGCAAAGACATAAATGGTGGGTTGAGAGAGTAAGTTTTATATTTCTTTTAAAATAAACAATTTAAAACAATAATTCTGCTCAGCTGGGGAGCACATTGTTGTAAAACTTCTTACAGTTACCTGGGCTACTTCTTAGATTGAGGATCTTCTAAAGCTTCTTTTGGCTTTAAATAGTGAGAAGACGAGAAACCCTAGAGGTCTTCCTCCTTCTCTGAAAGAATTTAAATTCCTCAATCATTGGACACATATACTGTACTTTACCATCCTTACTAAAATAAATATATCTGCTGATACAACAGCAGTTCTGACAGTTTGGCAAATTTTAGTATAACTCACTTTTTATAAGATTGCCAATTCAGACAATAAACTGACAGTATGGACTTTTGGGTAGAAGAGCTAATGAAGAAACTTTTGTGATTAATCACAGTTTATGTAACTGAAATATAGTTTTTCTGAAACTCTATTTTTCCATTACTGAACGAGATCAGCGATTGGCAGCCTGTGGCCTGCAGACCAGCTCTGACCCAGACATGGGGCTTTAGTCGTATTCGGCAGCAGGAAGGCCCCTTCTGCAGAAGTTCTACCTGCATTGCCACAGCAATGAAGGCTGGCTGTGGACTCTTTCCCCATGCTGCCAAGGACACACACAGTGCCAGCAGCAAGGTCCTAGCACTCAGCTGCCCATCTGTTGTTGGGTGGGTCATTCCAGCCCAGTCAGAAAAGAATGCCTACCTCTGAAATAAATGGTCACATGGGTGGCTCTGTTCTCAAAATGCAACAACCTTGATGCACATTGTACACAATGATTTTGCAATAACTGTATTAGGAATGACACCTCCCACACTATCTCCAATTTTTAAGCCTAGCTACTTTTTTTCTTTTAATAAAATACAAAGGAGAGGAGTGCTCCTACAACAGACTGTGTGAAAGCCAGGGAAAATAGAGATAAAGCAGCAACAAAAGAGACCAAAATATTGGTACTGCTGTCTGTCTATTGAGGGGAGCAGTAAACGATGCTCTAAATTAGTGATTTAATATCACAGAATAGACTACTGTTTAACAAAGCCCACAATCTACTTCTTGATGTACTTTGTACCAACATATTTTCCCTGCTTTTCATACATGGTCAGTTGCAGGAGCCACTCCGTTCCTTTATTTTATTAGAAATCAAAAGTGTTAAATTCAGTGCATCTTGAGCAATTTTTTTTAAATGAGTAAAGATCAGGGCTGTCCAATTTCTGTACCCCATAGGCTGCAATGCCCCATTCAAAAGGGACAGGGACTGGATCCTGGAGGAAGGAGTGGGAGCTTGAAGATTTCAACCACAGTGGTACATGAGAGATGCAGGAGTGGCACCCACACAGGAGCCTGCAGGCACAAGTTAACCACTCACAAACTGTATGGAATCTATAGGCTACCAGTTTGACAACCTGGCAAAATCAAAGTACTAATAGTAAACTGAGTATTTTTATAGTGCAAAAGCAAACTATGCTAAAATGGCACCTTCTTCCAAAACAGATCTACTGCTTTCATGTATTTAGAAATGTGTCTTGAATTTTAAAATAGAAAACTTACTCCTTCCATACTTCTGTAATACTCCAGCAGATAGTACTGTAATACGTAAACTCCAATATGACATCAGTAGGGCTGGGAGAAAGTAACCTAAATTCTATTCTTTGTGTCCAGCTACAAAATCATTTACTAAGCTTGGTCAGTTTCACCTGTGGAAATTTAGTGAATAAAAAAGAACTTTACAGATTACACTGAATGTACAATTTGAAGAAAATGAAATTGTACCCTGGTGTTTTACGACCTGTGATGAGACAAAAACAGAAAATCTAACTTGTCTCTCAAATTCCAAGATGCATTTCTGGTTTTTGAAATCAGAAAAACAAATAGTAACAATGCATGAACCACACACACACACACACACACACACACACACACAATCTGAAAGCCACTGAGGTAAGTGTTCCATTTCTATTGCATTTTTATTTTTCAGAGTAGAACTGAACTTTATACCTCAAAAGTAGTGCACGTTTCAAATGTGTTTATATATGTATTGCAATAAAAGCTAACACTTTTATTTTTTTCAGTTAAGGATGCCACAATGTTAATCTTACCTGGGACTATTGCACAGTTTCACCAGAACCAGACTTCCTATAGAAAGCTCTGAGTAAATGTATTTAAATCCATTTTTATGAAACTCAGACTCTTCTGGAAAACATTCTTCAGAAACAGAACATTTATTAAACCATGGATCAGTATTCATATAACAGTACCATGGCTCATTGTGATCTACTTGTGCAGCATCATCAGTTGATAGCAGCCTCCATTTTAAACAACTGCCATTCTCACATTGAACCCATATTTTGTTTAGATAAAAACTGTTTTCATTTACAGAATCCATAGCAAAATCCTCATTTTTTCTAGTTCTCCAAAGGTCAAATTTTGTAGGTGAATTGTATTCAATCTGAAATATAAAAAAAGAATACATTTATACAGATGAGTATTTCCTTTATAATTGTATTACCAAGAAAGTACTTTTTTTCCAGAGCCTTTTTCTATCTAAGAAAAACACCCCCACGTCCACATTCAGGAAGCATTCCTCAGCCCGTAGTCAAGCTGCTGCTGCTTGCCTGCACCTTCTCCATACCAGGATGACTCCAGTTTTGGGAAGGTGCGAGGAGCATTCACCCACTGCTCCACTCCTGGTCAAGGCATGGAGCAGTGGGGAAGCATACAGGCATTAATTCCTGAAACTGCTGGACAAAGTTTTGAGTATGAACTATCATCCCTCAGGTATAAATGGATGTAAAAGTTTGTCTAACATATCTCCCAACTATTCAGTTGGTCTAACAAAAAGATAACACAAAAATATCCTTGCCCGTCATACACCTTCAACAACATCATTGCTACAACTCTCCAACCTTCCAAGGAAACTTAAACAAGACCTACTCATTCAGATTTGTAAACAGGATGTAGGCAGTATTTAGGCATGTGGCAGAGCATTTTTGGGTGCCTGCCACTTTAAGGACCAAAGCAGGCAGCAGGGCAGCTGGCAGGCGTAGGCCAGCCCTGATGAGGTGGTCACATGACTGCAGGAGGGCAACCTGCTAGGAGGATGGGGCTGAGCAGCCTCCATTTTAGCTCAGGCCCTCAGGGGAGCCTGCAGTTTTCTGGCTGCAGCTGTGGAGAGAACACTGCCCAGGTGAAGCTGTGGCTCACAACATCCTGGAGGTAAAAGCAGGAGCTATAGGGATGGCAGGGGGCTCCTGGTTCTAGGTATGACCAAAAACTACACCCTGCTGGGAAGGATGGTCTGGTGGGAGTACCCGTGGCGGGGTAGTTCCCCAGAAATGCCAGGCTAGTTGCCTCCCCAGTGAAAGGTGGGGAGGGGCACCTCATAACCCCAGCCCCCACAACCTGGTGGGTAACCCCATAGAGGGGACAAGCAAGGGGTTCAGGCATTGTTATCAGAGGCCTGGGACCCAAATGGCATAAGGCCTGTGTTTGGAGGGGCCCAAGAAAGTTGACTTGTTTGAGAGGGAATGGGCTAGTTGCTCAGAAACCTGACCAGAGGGACCCTTGATTGGTAAATGCTGGGGCCAGGACCAGAAGGCTCAAAAGGGCCAGAGTGCCCACTGCGAGGGATGCCCAGAGCCAGGGGTTCTGAGTGGCCTAGACCTGGGGCCAGGGCCTGTGTGTCCAGAGGTCCCAGAAAGGGGGCCACCGCTGAGAGGGAGAAGGGTTCAGGGAGCTTTTCAGCCCAGAATGAGGGTAAAGTAGACCACCTGAGAGGAGGGATCCAGGTCACGGTCCGATATTAGACTCGAATGTAATGGGGCCCAATGTGGGGCCAAAGCCACTTCAGATGCCATCCGCAAGGCACGGGATATAGTGTAGCGGCAGTACGGAGCCGCGTATAAGGCCCCTGGCATCAGGGCATTAAATGGGCAGTCTCCTGAATTTTACATCAATTATTTATTCATCAAGTTGAGGCAGGCGAAACTGAGCAGACTGGTCCTAGACGGGTGGGTGGGCCGAAGATGAAACTTGGTCTTGAGGTGGCCCCCTGTCACAAGGCAAATGGATTCTAAAAAGTAATTCCAAACATTCCTAGTTCAGCAGCCACAAAATCCCAAAGTATCTAACAGCACCTATACACATGCCAGATGTTTGTTCCAATGAATGCTAATTAGCACACATCAGAGCAGACTCAATTAAATGAGTCTGCTGGAGTGTGCTAATTAGTGCACTATTTTTCAGCATTCCCACACCTCAAAATGGTGGCAGGGGCACTTTAACTAAACCTCATCAAACAGGTTTTAGTTAAAGCCCCCCCGCTGCTATTTTGAAGCAAAGGGCGCTGAATACACATGACGCTGTGGGTGCTTTAATTAGAGCGGCTCTTGGAGCGAATTAAAGTGCCCCCCTCACCCTGAACATGCATATAGATGCCCTAAATTTATTTGGTGACTGCATTTTGGACTGCAAAGACATCCAAATTGCTCGGTCTTCCATGCACGCACAAAAGCACCTCAGTCTGAGTAGCTAGGTACCCAACTACCAGCTAGGCTCTGTTACAGTCAAAGTAGAACTCCTAGAGTCCAATCCACTGAGTGCACTCAGAATGCCTAACACATTCCAACATTCCTAGTAGTCAGAATACTCACCCAAGAAGTAGGAGACTGATTCTAGGCCCTCCTCAGTCTGAGGGCTTTCAAACCGTATAGATTCATAGATGTTAGGGTCGGAAGGGACCTCAATAGATCATCGAGTCCGACCCCCTGCATAGGCAGGAAAGA